ATGTATAGTGGCCACTGCCAAAGCAGCCTCTGTTCGTGGCAACTGGGGCTGGCCTCAGGCAGAGCAGTCTTTGCCCGTGGCCAGTCCGGGCCATCGTGAATAGGGGTTGCTGGACCCATTGTGAACTGGGACTGTGCAGTCCTGGCCAGTGTTCCCTCTAAGAACGCTGCTGGGCTCCTACTACATTTAAAATGCAGAGATGCAGCAGGGGTGACTCCCAGAGCCGGTGCAAGCTGGGACTCATTCCTGGCTTGCGCAGGCTCTGGGAGCTACCTTTGCTGCAGAGTGGCCCCCTTGTCGACTAATCATGTAGTCGATACAAATTGTATCGACTGCACGATTAGCCAAATAACTGCTCTTTAACATCCTTAGTTCCAAATCTAACGCAATCAGTGTTACTGTTTATGAATCACAGCCAACGATTAAACGTATTTGTCATTTGAATTCTTAGGTGCTCTCATCTTATAATTTTCAAAAGATAAGTTCAATTCGCAGTGTGAATTCACTGTTTCATGAGGTTTATGTTGTTCCTTTTAGCTGATGGGAAGATGAGGAAAGGGAGGAATAGGCACGCGCACTCACACGTAGACAGAGTTAGATTGATTTCAGTGTGTTATTTAAAAGATAGTTTGTCTATAGGACAGGTAGAGGCTATCTGTTTTATTCTGTTACCTTTCCTCTCCCAAGCAGAACTGTTCATTTCAGTGGGATTACACAAGGAGTAAGGTGTTATTCAGCTTGAGTAAAAGTGGCAAAATCTAGCCCTTCATTAATTTGGAAGTGTTAAACCTTCACCTGGAACTGTTTTCCCCCCCAGAATACTATGACAGATTCTACAATCCTGTTGGCGGATGTACAGAAGATGAAAGACAAAGGAGAAATAGCCCAGGCCTATATTGGGCTAAAGGAAACAAACAGGTATGTTTTGTTTTTATTTTACTTTTAGCTCATTTCTACCTTACTTACATTACACCATACTTTGAGTCACATCAAGATACAAGATTAGATTTTTTAAATGCATTTGAATTTGGGGTTTCATTTATTTTGATGGGTAAGAATGCTATTTGTAAAATTCAAATTTATATTCTAAATTCTAATATATAAATGCAAAATCAAGCGTCTTAGGGTTTCCATCATCCATGGTTGTAATGGACGCTAGTGCTCATATTACCTTTGTATAATACCCCTCTGTTGCGTGTGTGTATGTGCCCTTCCTCTTATCTTTGATAGCATTTCTCTAGAAGTTGTCATAGCAATTTATAATTATGCATGTTTTGTAATTGTATCAACTGCAGTAAGCGACACTGTGTTCTTGAACATTCAGAACAGATTTGCTCAGTGAAATTCTGTGCAATCCCGCTTTATCAGTGTTTGACTAAATAGCTTTAGAACTGTATAGTTTAAAGTATTGTGTATCATGTCTCCCTTTTATATGTGTGATTTAACATTCACTCCCCTTGTTAACGTGTCCTCTCATCATCATCATGTATCCCTTTTGTGTTTTGCATTTTTTAAACATTTTGCATGGAAGACCATCTCCTCAGGACTATCATATGCTGAATGAGGATGGAGAACTATGGCTGGTTTATGAAGGGTTAAAACAAGCCAACAGGTTACTAGACTGGGGCTTTCTTAATTTTGCATTTTCTCTTCTTGCTAACTGTGCCCACTGCTATGGAATTCCTTTAGCTTCAATGCTTCTTATGCATAAATAGTTCAAAAATAATTGATCATTATGATTTTCTACAAAGAGTAGAAGAATTACCCAAAGCCTGGTAGTGAACCTTTCTACCTACAAAGGCTTGCCATTAAAAACTTAAGATGGCTGTAATCATGAAATATGGTCCAATACACTGGATAAAAACAGACAACATAAAGTACTGGCAGCTCTACAACTGAAATGAAAGAGACTTTGTAACTATATGTTACTTGTCTACCTTCATGTTATGTTTGGAAATGGTATGCCTTATCGTTTTTCTGTTTGAAGAAGTACAGTGATTAAACTTATTTTAATGCTGTTGTTTAAATAGCTTCCATGTAATTTTTATTTTCTTTTAAAATGTTCCTTTTTATTTTCGTTATTTTGACTGAGGATAAGTAATTGTGCACAATAATTTTGGAGAGGGCAATGCTAACAGATGTGTCCATTCAAAACAGAACTTTCAAAAATAGGAAGAATTTTTCAAATGTCGAGATGTGCAAAAATGAGCGTACAGTCACTGCAGTACCTGAAAATGTGGGTGCAAGTTGCTAGTTGGGCATATCATTGGCCAAGTACACATAGCATCTTGCAAGTGAATAGCCACTCATTCACAGTATGTGTTCATCTCTCAAAATTTTCCTAAAATGTCCATAGTCTTCCATTTGTGATAACTCATTAGTTTAGCATTGTGTGTTAATCCTATACAGGCAGTCCCCGACTTACGCGGATCCGACTTATGTCGGATCCGCACTTACGAACGGGGCTTTCTCGCCCCGGAGCTCACAGGCAGCGGTCAGCCACCTTGAACTCCGGGGCGAGAAAAGCTGCTCCCGGTGCCCCTGGTCTGCTGGGGACCGTCTCCAGCAGACCAGGGACACTGCGAGCGAACCCGCAGCAGCGGGGGGTCCCCCGCTTCTGAGGCGTTGCTCTGGCAAAGCCTCAGAAGCGCGGGGACCCCGCCGCGGCTGCGGGGTTGCTCCCCGGGGC